CAGAATCACCCAGAATGATGCTTCAGACTCAGCACTACCCTTCCTGGAAAACCACCATCAAGACAAGGTGGCACCAGGTACAGTGAGACACCAGGTACAGTGTGAGACAGTGTGCACCTCCCTGCTGCACACAGAAACCATGTCCCTAGCAAAGGGTTTCTGACTTCCATTTGAACAGGGAACTGTCCCTTTGTGCATAACTAAGGGATCGTGCCTGAGGAATGCTTGTCTCAGGTGAGGAAGAGAACACTGATGCTAATGGGGCTCTGAGGGCCACTAGCCCGGAACTTGCAGCCCAAACACCTCTGAGGTCAGTCAAGGGGCATGGACCATACGTGCTGGTCCTGAGATGATCTAGATCCATAAGCCAAATCAACTGTAATGAGAGCCTATAATAAGGGCCTATAACAAAAGCCTCCTCCACCCATCCAAAACCAAACCAACAAGACACAACTGAATACCAGCCATAGTATCTCAAAGGCATCTGGGTAGATCTGCCATGGATTCCTCGGTCTCCATTTCACAGGTAGAAAATGGACGGTGAGTATGAGGCTTAGACCAAACAACAGGTCAATGGAAGGGGTCTCTTGCTCTCAGAATCCTTCCTCTTGCTTTGGTTACTGGATTCTGTCCCTATTCACGATGCTGCCCCACTGACTCCTCCTGACAGCTCACACAGTACTTATGATTTCATCGATGACACACCAAGGGTTGGGGAGCTCAACTCATTCATCCCCAAGTCCCTGAGTCCCTGGATGCATCCCATAATGATGCACCTATTGGTTCTCTGTCACGCTTTGGCTTGTGATTTGACTGTGGCCAGCTTATAGTGGAAGATGCCCTATTGCCAAAGAGATTAGTACAAATTGGTGTACCATCTCTGATAACCCTGCTTCTGAGACATCTCCCCTGATGCCCTCAGCCACACCACTGTGGCAGCAGTGAAAAAGTACCTCCCATCACACCTAAAGAAATGTCACATTTGGCACAGGGCTTGCTAGATGACCCACTGCCTGATCCAGCCAACCTCAGGGTGGTCATACCACTTGTATCATGTACCTGCCTATGGACATGCAGCCTTAACACACACAACGTCACATCGGACAAATGAGGTTGTATGTTGTGGGGCCACCCATAGTAACTGCCCTAATTCTTGTCTTTTCTTGTTGAATACAGATATGGCAGGATTGTGCCCACAGAGCCCTGCTATTGCTCGCACTGGGGACTCAGTGACATTTTCTGTGGATGGGCTATTTGTGTTGAACAGCTCCGAGCTGGCTACGGTGCCCAGCATGGCAAGTTATGTAGCCTTCCCCCTTCCCAGGCTCAGAAGCCTGAGGTCCACCGATGCTCTGAAGATTTGCCAAGGCTGGGCCAGGGCTGAGCACAAAGCAAGGACTTTGGGGAGACCAGTGACAGTTCAGCGGGAGCCTGCTTACTTGATTCTGAAGTTATTCCTGATGGGCCCTTTAAAGAGGAACTTTCCCCCTGAAAGGTTTAACCAGTGGACTAAGGCTTAGTGCTGAATTGGAACTCAGGGCTGATGTATAGCGAGATTGAGGTGGGGGGAACCCCCAACAGCTCCCTAATTTACAGGGATGAATGGAAGAGAAGAAACCCTGCACCATCCATGCCTAACTCTGGGGCCTCTCTCCTGAGAAGACAGCATAAAATATCACCCACAAGTTCTAGACAAAATGCCAAGACATGAGGCTCGACCCTTACTTTGTCAGAGAAGGGCTATGTGACTTTTGACAAGTCACAAGCTTCTCTTGTCCTTAGCTTCCCTCCTTCACAATGAGGTCAGGAACCGAGGGCCTTAGAATCTTCTAGAAAAGCTCTATCTAAATGCAGTTACTTCATGTCTCCTGCAGGAGACGAGGACTCTGCAGAGGGGTCCTGACATCTCTGCTTCCAGCTTGTGGTTCTGATGCTGCTGATCAGCTGGGCAGGCATTTGACACTCACCCTATTGGAAGATGTCTTAAGCTCATCAGACATCAGGAGACAAAAAGCCGAGTCTATACAGTCTGCAGCTTTTGCCTTATTAACCACCCAGTCCCACACTGTTTTGGGGTGGGAAAGTGTGCCCGTTCATGGAAACAGCCTGTGTAAAAATTGCTCTTGAGTTGCCAAATTCAACCTCTGAGTACGCCAGCTTTGCTGGTGAGCACATTTCTTGCAGTTCTTAACTGCATTCCGAAGCACACCCAACCCTGCCGAGACCTACCGGGAACCTGACAGATAAGAGCTGTCGTAAGACATCCGGGGACACAGACACACGGGCACACACATACACACAAATATGGAACAAATGTCTTTGTGCTTACAAACGTAGACTAGCTGACCCCCCAAGTCACCTCTGTGAGCGCTGGAAGTATTTGGAACACTTTTTCCCCAGTACCTTGGACAGCTCCTTGCGGCTCTGTGGTAGAGACCCTTGGGGACTTTCTACATTAGAGCACTCCCCAGGCTCTCAGCTTCCTCCAGGGCCGCTCCTCAGAGACAAAGCCCTTAGGGGCTGGCATTGACCATTTGAAAAAAATGAACGAGCAGCAGGAAGAGATTCTATATTTCATGTTTACTCCAGAGCAGACCTCCCAACCTGGGTTAATTCTCTTTTATTTAAAAACAAAACAAAATAAAACAAACAAACAAAAAAAAACCCAACAACTTTTACGCACTGTGGGTGTTTCCAGAATGCCTATTACAGACATCACAATATCATCAAGACGGCTGGCTTCTTGTAGGAATGATTCTCCCATTTAACAGATAATAGGGCTGAAGCTCAGAGGTGTTAAGTGACCAAATGGAAGATTACACAGCCATGGAGCAAACTTAGCTTCAGACAAAAATCTTCAACAGGTCTCCACTATGCTGCTTGGGCTGTCCCTGCATGTTCTGGTATTGGGGGAGGGATTCCTAGACTTTATGAAGTCTTTTGGGGGGTAGTCTGGTTGTGTAGATGCATCTGGAAGTGGGGCCACGTACACAAAAGTGGTGCACAAGTCAGTTGGCTATGCATGCAATTCCCCCCTCCCCCCGTTTAGGAAGCCACAAACCAGGATGGAGGTCTCCTTGCTTGACTATGGGCAGCTAGCTTGGTTGGCCCTACCTCAGTTTCCATATCTACGTACTGGGGAAGTCAAGATATTCCAGACACATCCTATCTGCGGTAGTAGCCTGCAGCATATGCAAAGAGACGACACGTCCCTCAGTGTCTTCTGGGATCTGGACTGGGGTGGCGGCATTGGCAATCACGGGAAAGGGCTTGCTTTTGGAAACCTGTGAAGAATCCTCAAACCTCTCTGCTGCGGCTTGCAAGGATAAAGAGTGGGCGTGACCCCTACTCCATTCTGCCATACACCCTAAGCTTAAAAAACAAACTCCTAAACAAACCCCACTAAAAATAAGAGCAAAAATCCAACCAAGAAAATCAATTCTCCAGGAAGCTGTTAATACACCCCACCAACCTGTTATTTGCACATCCTAGCTTGAGTGGGGCTGGACAAGGGGGGGTACTTTCCCTCGAGAGTGTTCTGAAGGGCCAACTCCCTTCTGTCTTCCCCACTATTGGGACAGACACTCCCTGGGTGCCCCGGGCTTGCCTGCCTATCACATCTACCAGCTCACCTTTGGGGACTCTCCGTCCTTGGGGTGCCTCGAGGGTTCCCTTCACAATTAAATATGTACGTGTGTGAAGCGAGGTTTGGGGTTCCCCATGAGTCGGATAATGTTTTTAAAGTCTTATCTGCCGCAAACAGGATACGTCTCCCCAGGGGCTGCTTGGGAGATGGAGGTGGGCGCAGCCTAAATCACCGTCCTGACCCTCGGTTTGGTCTATGGGAAATCACAAGACGCCGAGGCCCCGGGATCTGTCCCCAGCTACATCACACGGAACCAGCAATATTTCCCACACTGTGCACCTACCCTCAGTTTCACTGTGACATTTGCAATGTTTGAAAGGTTTGCCAACAGATCTCCAGGAAAGGGCTACGTCTCTATTTTACGCACGAGAAAAATAGTCGTGGAGAGGGGAAGGGACTCACCTGAAACGGTAGCTTTAGGATCAGAACCCCAGGGGAGTCCCTCTAAGTCTCTGCCCTGGGTGGACTGCCCGTGCGAACCTTGCTTGCTCCAGACAGCCATGTCCCCAGTGTACAGACAGCTGCAAGTGCTGGGACCACCTTGCCCTGAGGGTGGAGGTGAGCCTCTTATTTTCTGTTCTTTAGGGCACAACCCAAGAGTCCTGTGCTAGACTCTAAGACTCAAGTGTTCACGAGTGACCAGGGAAGCTGGCTCTCCTGGGAGCCTTGTCGCACCCTTGGACCACTTGGATGAAAAGCTGTGTATAGCAGGAGACCCACAGAGTGCCTTCATTCTGCTCTGGGAACCATCGGGCGCTCTCAACAGTCTCCTTGGCAGGAGAGGTACAACTTTCTAGATTGGAGGAGTGAGAACTGCCTTACTGGACTATGCCAGTCTGCAGGGGCGCCAGGCTGATGGGGCAAAGTTGGAAAGTCAAGGAACAGCCCTCTAGCAAGCCAGCCTTGCAGTCCTGTTACCCTCTGGCCATGCCAGAGTCACCAACAGGGTCACGGGGTTTGGGGAGGGTGGTGGCGGGATAGAGGAGGAGAGGGTTTCCCAGAGGAAGAAGGTAGCTTAAAGTTGAGGCCCCGCAGGTGCCAAGGTCTCTAGGGTCATGTATCCCCAGCCTCAGGTTACATGCACGCCTAGGTTCGTGAATCCCTGTCATTGTGACACGGAGGTTGGGGATATCCGAGGAATGGGGTTGGGAGGGTCCTCTGCCCTTGTAAAGTTGGAACGAGGTGGCAGGACTCATCTTCCCAGGAGCGCGCAGTCCGGGGATCCGGGTCTGCCCCTTTATCAAGAGAGCCAGGCCGCCAACGAGAGCCAAGTTGGGACACACACAGTCGGAGCTAGAGCACTGGTCTAGGAGAGGGTATGTGGAATACACTGGGTCCGGGGCAGAGAACTCACCTGCCGCCGCGGAGCCCGCGCAGTTCCAGGGCTGTGAATCTCGCTGATCACCCTGTCTCCCGCGCCTCCTTCTCCCGGGGCTGTCAAGCGCGCAGATCCAGAGCTTCGCTCAGCTCAGCGGCAGGATGCTCCAGGCTTCGGCAGCGCCTCGGGGTAGGAGCTTCCTGAGCGAGCGCTCCCCGCCCCCTCCCGGCCCCTAGCTCCCGCCTCGCTCCGCCCTAGCCCAGCCAAGTTCAGGACTGGAGGCTGCCAGTGTCCCTACGCGCAACCCGGCTCACCGAAGCCGCAGCTGCCCCTGCCTTAGCGGCTGTGCTAAGTAGTCGCTCGTGCCCGCAGCTGCATCAATATGCAGGGACCGAGCAGTGAGCACAGCGAGGGTCGTGAGGGGGAATTTATTTCTTAATGTCCCTGCTTTATCCTATCACCGCTGAAACGAATTAGTGGTGACGTCCAACCGGCTGGTTTATGGGCGTGGGGAGGGAGACGTCGCAACCCTCATTAAAAGGGCCGCTCTGGGTTTGGAAGCATACATCTTTTATGTAACCTAATTTCCATTTTTTTCTATCAGAAAAAAAAACATACACACAATGACAATTTTGGGGAGCCCGAAGGGGGCTAGATAGTGACCACAGCGAGGAGGCAGGCTGTTTGGGGCAGGGAAGGACCTAGCTGAGGCAGGTGGTTGTCTCTGTCCTATGTGGCGAAACATTCCTTAATGGGATTGCTAGAGCACAGCCCCTCGGGGCAGGGCAAGAAGCCCCTCACAGAGCCAGCGCCTGGGTTCTGGCTCTGGTTCTTGGGTGCCCAGACGTTCCCGGTTCTGGTGTTTTTCAGAGCAGAGTGTAGGTATTGCATCTGGGGGAGTGGGGGTGGAAAACCCCTGGGGGTCTTATTCTCCTACAGCCTGGAGATAACAATGCCAGGAGAGGCCAAGGGCTGGGCTGGGGGAGGGGTGGGCTCAGAGAACTCTTCTCTTCCTTTCTTAGGGGCTCTAACATATGGGTAACCATATAAACCCGTCTCTAAAGCTGTCTTTCCCTGGGCAGATTGCAAGGCGGTTTTGCATTCAACTGTCGCTGCTGCTCACACACTCTTGGGGGAAGGAGTGTGTGTGTGTGTGTGTGTGTGTGTGTGTGTGTGTATAGAGGGGGTTGCACTCAAGGAAGGAGAGGAGGATTCAGACCCAAACACGCCTGGACACCTGGCTGCTAGCTTGATCGCCCCCATTTAGTCTCAGCAAAGACCCTGCACACTCGGAGTATAATCGCACTGAGACCAAGAGCCAGCTACCCCTCCTTGTTGCTCACACATGGTATTCAGATAATGATACACGTCAAGCCTGAGGAAAGGGGCTGTGACCTGGAGGGGGGCAGGAAGAGGAGGGGAGAGAAGCAGAAGAAAAAGCTGTGGGGTGTGAAGAGTGTGTGTTGAGGGAAGGCCTGAGAAATTCCACCGGCCTGCCAGGGCTCTGCCACTTCCTGACTGGGTGTGCCAGTTCCGAAGTCTGCTTCCTGAGCCTCTGACGTGGGTCTTGGGCTGTGGTGAGGCTGGTCTAGTCAAACGATGGCGGCAAAGCCCTTAGTTTAGCGTCTGGCATACAGTACCTGCTCTGAAAAGACCAGCCGTTAATAGTGTTACTGACGAGGATCGACTATATGTCGATGGGTAAATGAGTATCCCAGAAGCGGAGGTTGCAGTGAGTCCTTGCAGCCTGGGCTCAGTCCATCCTGGGCCCAGCTGCCTCCTCATCCTTTTCAAAGTTGAGTACTGGGCTTCCATGGTGTTGGGTCTCAACACTGCTCCCTCAATTACCATGGCAACTGGGGAGAATCAGGAAGCCAGGAAGGGAGGCTGTTTTTTCGCTGGGCTGGCAGTTCACCTGCTCCAGAGGCTCGTGCCAGCTTGCCGTGTATGGGAGTTGGGGCCAGCAGAGGTCCAGAGTGGACCAGTTCCCATCCAAAGGGTGGTCAGTAGGGAAGGTGGAGCTGTGGCATGTGGGTCAGGGCCAAGTCTGGGCTGTGCCTGAAGAAACAGAGCTGGCCCACTGCGGAAGGAGGCAGAAACCCCCTACCCCCAATCCTGTCCCTGTTGCTAGGTGTTCTGGTGCAAGTGACGGTGAGTCAGGACCAAGAGGTTCTGGAGACCCCGCTGCAATGACAGAGCCAGAGCCTAGCGGAGGAGCTTACCACCACGAGGACGTGTGTATCATTTCCCATTTTGCTGGTTTTGAACCAAGCCCTTTACAGACACACGGCTCATGGAATTATCACCAGAATGACAAGAAGTGGCTTCCTTTCCTCACTTGTGCCCGACAGAGCGGGCATTAGATGCTCAAAAGACAGAGCCTCTCCAAGCAGTGGTTAAGGAAGTAAATATAAGAACCCAGATCTAGGCTGGGGCCGGGGTGGGGGGGAGCTCCTTCTGATTGTGCACGAGAACCTGGGTTCTATCCCCAGGACCCCAAAGTGCTTGGCGTCTCGTAGAGAAAGGGGGAAGGGAATGAAGTCAGTCACTGTGCTGGGGTCTTAGTGTTGGGGGGAGGAGTGACTCGGTGCTGGGGAGCCTCCTGGCTAATGTTGGGCAAACTAACGTTCCCAAGAAGTGCAGGAAAACAAACCAGAGGATCCTGTCACCAGCTAGGTGACTCTGAGCAGGGTGATAGCAACAGTCCCCCAGATGCTCCTTGGATGTGGTGACCGAGAGGGTGCTGCGGCTTGGTTCTACCAGAAGCAGCCTTGGGTGTTTAGGGGTAGATGACAAAGATGTCACCTTTCTCGGTCTGAGAGGGACTGAGTCAGCTGACACACATCCAGACATCTGCTCCAGGTGTGGGGTCTCACTCTAAACCCCTGCACGGACAGTGGGTGGATAAAGTGTTTATATCCACCCCGTCAGTATCCCCCACGGTCCTCTGCTAAGGGCTGGCCCAGGCGAGCTGAGGGGAGAGGGACTCGGTTTGCTTACTCTATGTGGCTGCCACCGAGGGCTAATACATTACCCAGGGCTAATGAAAACATAATTATCTTCTTTTGGCTGCAGAGAGGGGCTAATTTAATAGGCTGCGATCGAAAGGCATCTGTTGAATTCACCCATCAGTGAAAACACTTGAAGGACCCGGGAGGGGAGAGGAGAGTGCCGCTGGCTGGCTTGCAGCTGTGTCCAGGCTGTGTGGTGCCTACAGCTCAGACAGCAGTAGCCGCCGAAGGCCCACAGTAACCCCAAGGTGTCTGTCTGTCCAGGTACAGACCTGGGGGCTCCGTTCCTGCTGCGAGTTCTGGGCTTTTCCTTTGGCACTTGCAGCCTCAGTTTTCTCATCCACACAATGGGATTTAATTATTCCTCTTTCACTGCAGCTTAAGGAACTCAGGAGAGGTGGTGGGAGAGGAGGGGTCCCAGCATATTCTATGTGTTTAACAAAGCGATCCCTTCTCTTCCCTGACTGTGCAGGCTGTACTGAGATGTGGTCTGCACAAACACTCCCTCTGTGGAGAAGCCGCGGCTCTAAGCTACCCTCCCACTCCCAATGCACAGTACGTTCAGGAATATTTACAAATTCAGCGTTAGACTGGAAAGACGCTCACAAGAGTGGGCGCACGCAGCCACTACCGCTCGCCGCCCCAAGTCAGTGGTTCTCAAAGATTGCTGCTGGACAGCTAGGTCACCATCCCCTGAGAACCGCTTGACCATACTCACCCCACACCCATTGGAGCAGACCCTCAGGGCTGTGTTTAAGACAGACTCATTGCGGGCTTGTGAGAATCCCAGGGCCAACCAAGAGTCAGACTCACACTTGGTTTGACCATGTGCATGAAGGGACAACCGTTCATCTAGCCAGGGTTTGTGTATTCAACGGCGGCTCCCTTATTAGACACCAATTGTATACACAGCCCCATGAAGTGAAGTTCTTGAATTCTTTCGGCCTCTAACCCACGCCCACATTCCCTCACACCTCAGTCCTGAGGAATGCCCCTGAGTTACAGGGGTGATGACAGCCTCAGGGCTGTCCCTCCGTTGCCATGGCAACCAGAGCCTCTCTGTGCCCGAATCAACTCTGCTCCCTCTCTGGGTGAGAGATACTGGTCTCAGCAACGAAGTTAGCTGGCGTCTGAGCTCAGCCCTGGGTGTGTGCCTGGGAGCTGTCATTCCCATGCACATTCTATGAGACTCCATGCCCATCAGTTCCTTTTGCAGTTGGAGAAATGAGGGGCCTCGGAAATGTCTGGCATTATACACAGAGCGGCCCAAACCAGAAAGTTCCAGAGCCATCTAGGAGCAGCAGCCTGTGGGTGGCTGATTGGTTTTTCCCTTCAGCTCGGGAATCATAAGAGGGGAAACATTTCATCTAAAGCAGCCTTGGAGCCAGCAGGCTGGCAGGCCAGACGGGACCCAGTATTGAGAACATGGTTATCTGAGTGGCTAGTGTCCCTAGGGACGGAGGGAGTGCCACGGTCCCTGCAGATGTTACCCCAGACACCGGAAATAATTTGTGAGACTCTGGCAGAGATCAGAGAGGAACCATTTAGAGGAGCAATCTGGCCATAAGGAATAGCATGACCTGACTGTCCCTCCAGGGCCGTGTGAGCCAGAGTAAAGCAGCCGGGAGTCTCTGGGCTTCAAAGGAGAATTTAATGTGAAGATGGATCGCCCCATGGGTTATATGCAAAATCCAGTACACAAAGGTTTCTCAGTGTCCAAAGCCCCTTTAAAGGGTCCCCAGACTAGGGGTCCCTGACGGCAGTTAGATTTACCAAGCTAGCTCAGCAGAGAGGCAGTTCCCTAAATGACCGACAGATGGCGCTAAGCCTTCACGGTAGCCAACTTGCTTTTTGAGACCTACCTGGAAGACAGGATGGTTTCTTAGAGTCAACTTTTGAGTCCTGAGCTGATTTGGGGGGCATGCAACTGCTGGTGCTGTTAATATCTTATAGTTAGTCCAAGACTTGTTTTGTAACCTCCTGTTCTTTCTCAGGCCCCCTCAAGTGTGGACAGCTCGGGTGGAGTTTGCAGTTTGAAGGGTGCAGCCAGGGCTTAAAGTGGGCTGAGTGCGAAGCATTGGGGAACGGCGGGGTCTGTAGAGAATTCTAATATTTCCCATCAAATTAAAGCGTCGAGGGCACTCGCTGGAGAATTCTGACCACAAACGTGGG